ACCTCTACTTTGATTTTGTTGATATCCGGGTCTTAAAGCAAATTTAAACGAACGATGATCCCGACTCCTCATCTAATCTTATTTCTTGTTCTAATTGTTAATTTAGTAGGATATTTTAGACATTTTCCCATGCTTTCAAACGTTGAAGGTTGGAAATTTCGGTCCCAAGTTTTCGAATTATCATCCAGTTTTTGTTTCCCTTGATGGGAAGATGAAAAATGTCAAGAAAAATCGAGAGGTCTTCAGGTCAACCCCATTTATGTATCTAGTTTCTGCTTATGCTTTTGTATTACATGTGCTCTAATAGATTCACACTCTTACGTATCACAGGCTTATGTTTGTATTCTTTCCTGCTCAATGAGTTTTCCTTTACAGAGCATCGCTATCGGTTCAACAACGGAGAAAATGGCAAGAATGCCCAAGGAGGAGAAGAAGCCTACCTTCTTTCAGATTATTTGCAAAGGTTTCAACACTGAAAAATTGGTAAATGCTTTCAACTAATGTCGCGTCTTTAATTACCTGAATTTATTTGTTTCTTTGAACCATGTTGCTCGTTAATCTATAACTGATTAGTTAGAATCTGTGTTAGGGGTGATTAAAGCTAGAAGCATGTTTAAATTCTTTACCATGATATGAAATTTTAGTTTGTCCATTCTTTTTGTTTGTTTCTTGAAGACTGTCCCACGAAAGTTCTTGACACATATACTGAAGGAGCTGTCCGAGAGAGCAAGTTTGAAACTGAAAGGTTCTTCAGATTACTCATGGACTGTCAATGTGACTAAAACACCAAAAGGTGCGGTGCGTTTCAATGGTGGCTGGCAGGAGTTCTTGAAGGATAACTCCTTGGGTCACGGCGACTTTTTGGTGTTCACTTATGATGGAAAGATGCAATTCAGCATAGATATATTCGACAACACTGCATGTCACAGAATCGATGACAAGATCAACCCCAATTCAAACAGCTCTTCTGGTGACGCTTCGGGTATGTATGCAGTCTGATGTCGCAATATGCATGTCTCTTTTTGATCTCTTGTAACTCATGTCTCCGCTATGTTTTTATTTTGATACGGATGCAGTTCAAAACCTTTCAAGTTCCGAATCCAGTGAGTTTGATGAGAGTATAGAAGAGGAAGAAGATGACAGTTGCAAGGACTCGGAAGCTACCTGTGAAGACAACATATCTGAGGATTCAGAAGCTACACGGACTGAATCTTTCAAATCTAACTTTCCTCATTACAATGACACATAGTATGCTCAATTGTTAAGAAACACTAATTTGAATGTTTAATGCCATCAATTCTACTCACGGAAAATTGGATTTCACTCATGCAGTTCGTCCCTTCAGCCTTCTCCAGGAAGCATTTCCCCCAAGGGAAAAGTTTTGAGGTGATCCTGAAAAATGCAGAGGGAAAGAAATGGGAAGTTAAAGCCTACCCTGCCAATGGATCACACTTTTTGTTGAAAGGGTGGCCTGAATTTGCATCTGCTAATAAGATCATTATCGACAGTACTTGCATATTCGAGCTTTTGAGGGCTAACACAATGATGGTTCACATTGTTTAGACAGAATCAATTAAGCTGTTAACAATATGGCAATTTAAGTAGAGCATGCTTTAAGTAGTGCACTTGGCTGTACTCGTATTTTCTGAACGCTGTAGTGGACGTTGGTTGTACTCTAAATAGTTGTGTTTCAGATTAATTAGTTTGATGTTGGTGCAAGTTCTTTTTCTTGTTCAATAAGTCCACGGCAAGCTTAAAGTCGGATTCAATCATATGAGGAAACAATTGTGCAGAGAAGCAAATTTTAGGGCAAGGAAAATTTGCCCATACTTTAGATTGAACAACAGAACCCTCACTCAAATCAATAGTCCATCACAATTTGTCACAAATTCTCACAATCGATCTATACAGCTATACATCGTTTAAACATGATTCATATGTTTGTAACACCATGTTGGTATTCGGCATGGAAGATTTCCTTCATCTAAATACTCCATAAATAGTGCGTGTAAGCATCAACAACTACAATTGATCGAATATCTTAATAAACTTTAGAATTTCTTCTATTATTAATCTTGTATCAAGTCTAGGAGAAAGTTTCAAAGTGATGGTCGCACCGTTGTAATGTTACTATCCCGCATGTTATTATATGAATAATAGACATGGTTGATATGTTAACGTGTGACCGCAACACCACATTGACGTGCCATATGACTTATTAAACTTAGTATTACAAACAAACAAGAGGAATGTTGTATTTAAGGGAAGTACATATATTTACTTGACACAACCATTAAACAGCCAACTCAATTGAGAACCCTAGTGGAGAGAGATTAGGAGGGGAGGGAATCCTCTTCCATAGCATTGAGTCGTAACTTGTACAGTAGTTAAGGAATTCACCAACCCTATCCATGCCTGCAGTGTCCTTTTGCAGTGAGTACAAGGAGTTACTTTGACTTCTCCATTTACTTTTTACTGCCTTGTGTTTCTGTGTCTCAAACATTTGTTTCTCTGTATTTCAGAATTTTCTTCAATACTAAGTAATATTGAATCATACAAGAACAAATGGCTGTTTGGGACAAGGCCATTTTCTTTGTATTTTTCAGGTGCTCTTCTTTTTTAATTTCATGTTTGTTTGGAAGTTTCTTTGTGTTCAATTGGTTTGTTTAACTGGACTTTCAGTCTTCTGTTTTTGTTTAGTGTTTTAATTTGTTGTTCTTAACTTCTTGGTGTAACATAGCAGAAGCTCTGTTGGACATTTTTTGCTTGGTTGTGTGTTTGTGTTCTAGATTTGGGGTTTCCCTTTTGTACATCTAGTTTTTATGCTTTATAAGTTCTTCCCAAATTTTTGCGATTGCAGTTCTCCGCTATGCATCTCATTTTGTTCTTCTTTAAAACTCTTCTTTACTTGTCATTTGTCGATAATAACTAACTTAAACAGGGGGGGGAATGCTGAGAACTATTAAAAAGTGACCAAGAATGTGTTCATTTCCTTTTTTGTTGATCGTTCTGTTGCTACCTTCTTGTTTATTAATTAGATTAGAGTCTCATGCTGCTACTGAGAAGAAAAATGCTGAGAACTCTAGGCTGCAATGGAACATTTATCGATTTAATCTTGGTTTACATGCTTTCTGTTGTGTTGGGGGTTCTCTTAACATTTGGTGTATATATTAATTCGATTAGTCTCTCTTGTTCTGGACTGTTGCGTTGCAGCCTGATCTAAGCTGAGCCCTTTGTTTTCTCTCGAATGAACTGTATTTCGAAAGCTCGCGTTGTTTTTGTAGTCAATTCCTACTTATGTCCTTATCTTTGCTGCATTGCATGAACTTATAACGCTGTTGCGTAGCACAGGCTGCATTAGACGATCCATTTAATTTCATGTTTGATTTGCCGGTTGCTTGTGTTCCAGGCTGGTATTTTCCCTTTTATCTCTTCTTTTTCTTCTTAAAGATTCTTCCAAACCTTACCAATGGAGTTTGACTTCGCAGAAAATTGTGAGAATAACATCCAAGACTGAGGAGAAGAAGCCTTCATTCTACAAGATTGTTTTTTATTGTTACAACACCGAAGAATTGGTAATTAGTCTCAACTAATTCCTCGTATTTAATTTTGTGCATTTTCTTCTTGGAACGGTGTTGTTACTCACTGCAACTGTTTTATTTAGAAGCTGTATTTTGGTGCTTAATGTTAGATCAGAAACATGTTTAAATTCTGTACATAATTTTGAATTTTCTGCGTCAGCGTATCCCACCAAACGTTGGGAAACATATGCTGGAGGAACTGACTGACAGAGCAAGTTTGAAACTGGAGGATTCTTCAGATTACTCATGGACTGTCAAAGTGCATAGCGCAACAACCGGTGGTGTGTATTTCAAGGATGGCTGCCCGGAGTTCTTAAAGGATAACTCTTTGGTTAACGGGGAGATATTGGTATTCAGCTACGAAGGAAGAATGCATTTCAGCAAAACGGGTTTTTAAGAATGCATGTAAGCGAGTGGATGCTTAACGGGTCGGGTCGCTAACAGATGAACCCGTTAAATAACGGGTCACTTTGGGTCAACTCGTTAGGACCCGTTAGCATCCGTTAGTTGAGGATATTTTAGTAATTTTAGTAAAGTCTTAATAACGAAAAATAAACTTTATGCAAAAAAATAATAATAATAATTGTTAACGGGTGAAACGGGTGACCTGTTAGCTTAACGGGTCGGGTTCGGATGACCCGTTAGCTTAACGGGTTGGATTCGGATAACCTGTTAACTTAACGGGTCATGTTGAACCCAACCCAAACCCAATAAACCCGACCCATTTACAGGTCTAGATCCTACCAACATTGGATCAAATCAAAATCCCGCCTATGCTAGCACTTCTAAAAGACCTCGTGGTAGACCAAGAAAGTACCCTCCCGTGAGTTCTAAGCATCCCCTCCTACCAAGTTCTTCCAGCGATAATTCAGGTATGTGGTCAGATGTCGCGATGTACATGTCTCTACTGGATTTCATGTAACTCATTGCTCTGCTATGTTTTATTTTAGATGTGAAACTGTAGGTGAAAACCTTCCAAGTGTTGAGGGGAGTGGATTCAAAAAGTTTACAGACAAGGAAGAAGATTGCGGGGACAACGCATTTGAGAATTCAGAAGCTAGTTGTGAAGTAACTTCATCCAAGTCTTTATCACTGCATTCCTCCCAATCAGTCCTCTTTCATGTAATGAAACTAACATCAAAATGCAACAAGTGGAGCATCTTATATTGGATCACGTTGCTCGTGCAGTTCGTCCCCTTAGCCTTCTCTAGACTCTAAAACAGAAAACTAGCATCTTACCAAGACAACTCAAAACAGAAAGTTATTCCTTGCGACGAATCACACTGCTTCACCGCAGGGTGGTGTAAATTCCTCCCAATCAGTTTTCTGTTCGTCCCCTCTGCATTTTACTCAAGGCATATATTTTAGGGTCACCCTGCAAAATGCAGAGGGAAAGACAAGGACAGTGAAAGTTATTCCTTGCAACGAATCACACTGCTTCACCGCAGGGTGGTGTAAATTCGTATATGCTAACAAAATCAAGACCAGCGATACATGTACTTTTGACCTTGTGAGCAGAAACTACACACACACACACAAAAAATAAAAAAATAAAATAAATAAAATAAAATTATAGCTGCACTAGATTAGTCGCCACAAAAGAGGAATTTTATGTGCGCAAAAATAAGCGTTTGGTGTCTCCCAGCCTTTCACAACTTGATCAGGGACTAGTCTGCAGTATGAGCAGGCCATAATCCACAAAAGTTTAATTCCCACTCAGCCTTGTACTCCTTCTCAGCTTTTTCTTTGCCTCACTGTTAACAGCAACATCAGCAGCAACAGCATCTGCATTACCCACATCGTTGTCACCAACATGCTTGCTAGTATCAGAGCCACTGCCAATTCCTGAAGATTCATCATGTGAAAAGCTCTCTGCTGAAGGAGTTGATCCCTCTGCAAGAACCTCTTCACCTGTGGTTTCTGTGTTTGTTGAGGGATGGCGGCTTTGAATGAGATAATGTGCCACAGATTTGTAACCCAATTTTACGACCTGATAAGTAAACAAAATTTTGCCATTAGTTGATGTTAATTTGTTGCCTTGGTCTTTTGTTTCCATTATGTACCAAAATCACGGTGCCCAAACTATGTTATGAACAAATATATGTATATATATGCCTTAAGTGTATGTGGGTGCGTGATTTTGTGTGTTTGTGCCTGCATTCTACTGTGCCGACCCCACTTAGTGGAAAAAAGCTCTGTTGTTGTTGTTGTTGTTGTTTGTGCCTGTGTTCTACTGTATTGCAAGCTTTTCTCTTCACGGGAGTAGCTCATTAAGGTTGAGAACGTTTACCTTTCTATACACATTACCAGTGGGTTCCCACCCCTTCACTTGACGGCAGCAATTGCAGTTACAGATGCCCCGACAAACAGGACATGTCCAATCAGGATTTTCGCTGGCTTCCATAACATTCTCTCCATATCTATGGAAGATGGTAAAATTCAATGCATAAGACCATAGCATTGATTAAAAAAGATGAAAAATTTGCTTCAGGCAACATCAAAATTATTGACGTGCTTAATTTGGATGTGGTCTTGTTGACCTCAAGGTACATGGTGCATGTAGCATCTTTTCATTCATAGCATGTTTTCGATACAAATTGGAGCATAAAAAAGGTGTTACCTTTAACAGGTAACTTGTGAAAAAATTTACCTCATGTATAAGCAATCTCCACAAAACTGCCCTTGGACCCAGTCACATTTCCAGCACTGTGTATGATGACCAAGAGTTTTATGCCTGCAAGGAATTATGTCATCTTGAAACATAGTTTGCCAAGTGAAAGGACAACTAAGAAACATAGTTTACATGGTTGTATGAATGTTCTGTACGAGTACATAGTGAACCCGGTATAGCAGTTGATTTAAGAACTTCTGCTATACACTTGACAACAGTAAGCTCGTAACCTCTTCCATAGGGTTATTAATCATATGTATAAGCTTCCTTGATCATCACCGGTCCCTAAATTATTTTTTCCAATTTAGATTCAGAAAAAAAAAAAACAAAAAATACTACCTACAAGTATATAATGATAGTACATGAATGAATAAGAACGGTGCAAGAAACATACAAAACTCAAGAAGAATATAATAAAAGAGCATTTGACTGAAACTTTTCAATTGGAAGCATACTTTGTGTGACGATGAGAAGACTTTTTTAAGTGCTACATTGTCAATTATCCGTATAAGCAATCTGTTGAAATGAAAGCCTAAAGCCGAAACAGACAACATACTTGAAAGGGTTCCAACTTCTAAAGTTGTCCTGGAGTAAATGGACAGAAAAAATGTAAAGCTTAGCATATTCACAAATAAAAAACAACGAAACAGCTAAGACAGTGATATACATCAGTTTCAGATTCTCGTTAGAATCAGAATGAAATCCGCTGGCACTCAGGCAATCCTTTAACGACAATGATTCAAAATGCCAAACAGGCCAATTGATAGAACATTGCTGGTCCATGCAACATGACTTGACTAAACTTGGCATGTTAAAATTCGATCTCGTTGTCAAGAACAACATTACCAGCTAGTCAATTAAGTTAGCTCAACTAATCAGTATAGTAAGAGACCTTTTCAGGGTTTCGAAGAAATTTGCAAAGGTCATAACTATGCCTATACGTAAAAATTGTATACTTCGACATAATTTAGAAACCCATCAAATGCATGATAACCTACCTGCATTGGTGGCAAAATTCTCCCTTAACCGGATCATAAATGCGCCTCCCATCTTCCCCATAGCCATCAACACCCAACTCCCAGCTTTCAACGCAATCCCCTAACAGCTTCTCATGCTCCTCTGTATAGATCTCTGGCCTTGAACCTTCCTTTATAAAAATTTCAACACTCCTCTTTGGGCTCTTTGGGTTCTCGTCTTTCTTCATAGGCCTCTTCTTTTGCACATAATCTACTGGAGCCACGCTCTTCAACCTAACAAAACCCCAAAAAAACAAAAACGCCTTTTTTTTTAAAAACATCAAAACCCGTCAAAGATGCAAACATTCCCACATTTTCCATTTTCTCGGAATCCAAACAGGAGGAAAGATAGGTTACCTAGAAGAGCGCCTGGGGGATCCGGAACCAGGAAGTGGGCTGTGGGTTTTAGGCCGGTGGGGACGTTTTGGGGCGGCAGCTTCGGTCTTGAGCTTCAGGGCAAGGTCCAAAATGCCCAGCTTTTGCAATCTCTCCTTGTTCTCTCTGATCCTTTGGTCCCTGAACTGCTCGTACCCTGAAGCACCTGCGCTTTCAGTCTCTACGGTTGCTCCGCCGTTCTCTCCGGAGTTTCCTCCGCCTCGATTTCTCAGAACCGCCATTTGGAAATGGTGGACTGGAGCTGAAAGAAGACCTTCCGCGTCTCTGAGTCCAAGAGCGGAAGCGGGAGGGTTTTCATTTTTTAAGACGGGGGAATTTTGAAAAAGAGTTGAAAATTCCTTTTTTGTTTTTACTAATTTTTGTCTCCCATTTCGCGCCGTTGATTTGTTATCTAGCCATACTGCACCCGCTCACGAGCAAGGATTGAAATATCGATATTATCGGTGATATTTCGCCGATAATATCATTTTTTTGAGATAACAATATTTTTACATATGGATATTATCATCCAAATATCGTGATATTATCGATAATATCGCGATATTTTGGCGAGGAGGATGCTCCCGACGAGGAAGAAGAAGGAGCAAAGCTGGAAGAGGCGGAGGAGGGCTTACTGAACGGTGGAAAGGGAGTGGAGCCGCCGGAATCCGCCGAGCGCGAGGACTCCTCCGGACCGCCAATCACAATCACCACCGCCGAAATTCCCCCAAATCCCCAGAAACAAACACGAAGTTGAAGCAAACCCAAATTCCAATAGATCAAATTATGGAATTACAGTGCATAATGATTCAAAAATTACCTTAATTTACACAAAAACTTCAAGATCTAACAAGAATTACATATCCAAAGTAGGGAAATTTGGTGGGTAATCGGAAAACCCAAAGCCCAAATTGTATGAGTTGTGGGGGTGTGTGGAGAGAAGGGGGTGGGTAATGCGGAGGGAGGAGGAGGAGGGTGGGGGTGGATATAGAGGGTGGGGAGGGGGTGGGTAATGCGGAGGGAGGAGAAGGAGGGTGGGGGTGGATATAGAGGGTGGGGAGGGGGTGCACAGGCATCCTTCCATTCGTGTCGCGAAGAATTCCCTGAAAACAATATATGATTTCAATGTACCAATTTCCCAAACCCTACAAAATAAGCAAAAATTCATTGCATCCCAAAATTCAATCAACAAAGAAGCAGATTGAAACCGAGCCACATAAATTACAGATATCAATTATCGAAATCTGATTAGAGCATTGATTATTTGAAGACGTTTATGTACCTGGAGGGTTGATTGGATACCAGAAGGGTGGGGAGTGGGGGATCTGTTTTTGTGCGTTTTAGAAGACGAAATTTTTGTGAAATGTCGATGATGTCTGTGTGTGTGTGTGGGAGAACTGGAGCAGGGAGAAGGGAAGGGAGAAGACTCAGAAGAGAGAAGGAAGGGAGAAGACTCATAACTCAGAAGAGAGAGAAGGAAGGATCGAGAGACTGAGCTTAGTCTCTGTGTGCGTGTGTGGTGTGGGGGGTCTCGAATCTCGATCTCTGTGTGCGTGTGTGGTGGGGTGTGAGTGTGACTCACTCTCTGACTCTTTGTGTGTGTGGTGGCGTGTGAGAAAAAAAAAGCATCCAATGATCCAAATAATTCAAAACCTGTCTCTAGCTCGCTATATTATGGTGTGTTTAGACTTCTTTCATTAATTACTACATATTTTCTACACTCACAATGTTTGTCACCTTGCTATATAATCAACTTGATAATGTTAAATTCATCATGCAATGCATTTCCTTTCAAATTTTTGTGATAAACTAATAGATAATTGACTAAATAAATATCCTGCAAAGTTTCAATAAAAATTTCCAAGTTTTTCTTACAATTTCCGTGGTTTCCATGTAATTTTTATCGATATCGATATTATCCCGATATTTCCATCGATATTTCCGTGTTTTCAGACTACCGATATTTCCGATATTACCGATATTTTCTTCCTTACTCACGAGTGGCCGGCCCCTTGGGTGGAGAGTGTTCGGTCATATTTGGTGAGAATAGGGAAATAATTGTAAAATATTATGTGAAATAATATATTGTAATTAACATGACAATTATTTCTAATTTAAATAGAAAGTTTTGGAAGTTATATTTTGAATAAAATCAATAAGGGATTGATGAGGAGCGATGAGAGGAATGTGAAACAAATTCCATATTGATCACCTTTGACTCTTTCTTGATTGAGTCATTACTGTTCGTTGCATGCGTGTGGGAATTCTGATGTGCCCTGAGGATAATCTCGTCCTTCTTGTCCAAAAATTCATGTGTCATCTCCACGATTTTTGGGATTATTTTTTTCTTCACAAATGCCCCCATACCAGCTGTCTTGCTCGCAGGAAAGGGTAGTAGGTGTAGAGATCTTCAACTTTGATGCAGATTCCCACTTGAACTTGGAATTAGATTCTTCTAGGAAAGGGAAATAAAGTGCCACCAAAGCTTATATAAGCCTACCTTAAGTAGGGGATTAAATCAACTTTGGAAGGCAATTATTTATCCCTACAAGAAAGAGAGAAGGCTAGGATATTTGTTCCCCCTCCACTAGCATTCTTCTTCGCTTACCTGTGCAAAGAACCTTCTTCCGTTGATTTCCTTGTCTTCTCTGCGCTACACCAAGGTAAGAAAAACTTAGGGCCTGTTTGGTATCCTATTTGAAATTTTTTTATCGTTTCTCAAAACATTTCTTAAGAACATTTCTTGAAAACAATTTTCTTTAAGACTTCAAAAGGTGATTGGTTTGCGATTTAAAAATTTTAAATCTTACGACTTAAACTAGACAAAAAAAATCTAAAAAGAGAGGGTCGCAACAGAGGGAGAAAAAGGAGAGATGAGGAAAGAAAGTAAAAGATGATTGAAGGAAAGAGAAAGAAGGGAGAGGATTGAACGAGATAGAGAGGAAGAAGAGTAAGAGAAAGAACCAAGAGAATGAAAATAGTGGATTGGAGGAGAGACGAAAAAGGTATAAAAAAAAAGGAAAGAGAAAGAAGAAGAAGAAGAGAGAAAGAAAGAGAGAGAGAGAGAGAGAGAGATAGAGAGAGAGAGAGAGAGAGAGAGAGAGAGAGAGATTTGGAGTGGGAGGGGAGGAGGGAGAGAAAAGAAATGAGTGAGTTTAAGTTTAAAAACTCTAAAGACTCACTTTTTATGTTTTTAGAGAATAAACTATATTTTTTAGTTAGTCTTGAGTTCAGTTTTTGAAAATAGTCCTACCAAACAAGTTTTTAAAGCCTAAAACTTGAAAATTGTTTTTGAGTTTAAAAAGTTGGATTCAAGCAGAGTACCAAACAGGCCCTTAATTTTCTTTGTCTTCTTCTTAAGTGGTGCTGCCACGGGGCAGCCATTGAGGTGGTGCGGCACATCAGCTAGCAGGGGCTAAGAGTCGGCTTGGTATGGGTTGAGAAGGTGGTGTGGCAAGGGCCAAGACTTGGCTGAAACCAAAAGCTTGCTCGGCTTGGCTGGAGCCAAAGGCAGCTGTGTGACTGAGGTCACAACTTGAGGCACTAAGGCGCAGTGCTAGTTGTTAGCTTGCTTACTGGACCTTCAGTTGAGAAGAAATCATTCGACTGCTAAATAAGCCTCAAAGCATGCTCATTCTGATGCTGCCATGTATGTGTTGTTTGCCAAGAAGAAAGAAACTGCTTGAGTTTGATTTCTCAGATGTCGTAGATAGAGCAAATGAGGATGGAGCTGCTAAAGATGAAGTTTCGGATGAGCAAACTGCTGAGTGGGAAGTAGTTGTTGAGGGAAGGATGGCTACTTGAGAGCCCAAGGTCATCCAAACTGCTAAATGAGTAGTCTACTCTGTTTAACTTGTGTCAGATTTTGGCGACCTTCATATAAGTTTATCAGTTTACTAGAAATTTAATAAACTGCTTTCTTCGCTTTACTCCATCTTTGTTTTTCCTGAAACTTTGCTTGCTTGAAGCATCTTGCAAAACTTTTAACCATAGAATCGTCGGTTAGGCACGCTACTTCGAAAAAAGATAACAATCCCATAGAGTTACTATGACCATGAGTTTTGGCTTCTTGGGTGTCGAACCATTGAGTTCGTAGTCGGTTGCTGCCCTCTAACCATTTGTTGCTTAACTAGTTTTCCCTGCATCACAACATGATAAAGATCTATGGAATATGAAAATCGTTAACCAATCACATCAAAATGAGTAGTTGTGTGAAAATTAATGGGCAGTTTGCCCTCTTCCGTTGTAGAGCAAACCTAGATGGGTGTCAGGAAATTAGTTTACCCTCTCGCATTGGAGAGCTTACCCATAAAAGTGTCAGGGAATTAGTTTACCCTCTCGCATTGGAAAGCAATTAGTTTACCTTCTCGCATTGGAGAGCTTACCTAGACGGGTGTCGAGGAATTAGATAACCCTTTCGCACTAGTAAGTAATTAGTTTACCCTCTTGCACTGGAGAGCTTACCCAGATGGGTGTAAAAGGGATTGGTTTACCCTATCACACTGGAGAGCATGGAAGTTGTTGTCTTAAGCACAGCTGAGGAAAGTGGGCTTGTGGAACCCACGTAAGGGTGTAAGTGGGAAGCGCAGTGAAATGCTTCTAAACCTTCTCCTAGTATTATGCCATCTTTAAATGTTTCATCGTGTGTTCTTTTGCAGCTTGGTTGGTGGTCAGCTGAGAATCTAAATGGATTGTAAAATTTTTATCGCTAAGTCTTTTGCTAGTAGAGGTTGCTAGTAAAGCCTCATATTCTACTTTATCGGTTTGAAGTGTCGTGGGTATGGTTGGCGCGGTTAAAAACCGCAAGATCAGCATGGCTGGGAGTCGTGGTGCAAGATCAACACAGTTGGGAGTCGTGGTGCAAGATCGACACGGTTAGGAGTCATGGTGACAAATTTAGGGTTGTCGGGTTTTGTGGAACAGGTAGGCACGGCTGTGAGTGCGGAGCTGGGGCCAGCTTGGGCCAAGTTATGCGCAGTAGGAGGAATTGGACCACTAGGTTCGCGGTTCTAGGCTACTAGTGATGTACTGCTCCAGTATTAAATCATCTGGAGTGTTAAGAACAAGACCTGCCCCCAGTTCCTGATGGTTGGGCTGATGTGCTCTTCTGGTACCCGTCTACCCCCAGTGCGCCATTAGGCTAAGTTCCTACGTTTGTTAGAACATAAGTAATCTTTGTATCCACCAGTGTATGTGGGATGTTTCTGTCGACTTGATCTTGTCAAAGAAAAGTGACCTACTTATATTGGTCATGTCTCGTTAGGGCATTTCATCAGTAACTTCGATGTATTGCAAAATCACGCTATCGTTTGATCATGAGTTTCTCAACTTCTTCTTGAATTTGTCTTTGCTGGTGCAACAAAGCTTCTGACTGCCCCTGGTCGTGAACTGTTGGTCTAGGTTACTTTCCCTATGCTCGGCTCTTCTATGTCGTTGCAGCGGTGCATGTGGTAAGTTTCTGACAGGCAAACGGGTTACTCGCAGGTTGTTGGTTGAACTTAAGCTGAATTGAATGACTACTTCTTTCTGTCCGCTGTGCTGCCTACTCTAATATAAGGTGGATGATGCTAATTGCGAGCCTAGCCATGAATGAACACTTCACCTGGAAGGTTGTCCATGTTGATTATCGGAGTGTGGTCCTAACCATGAATATATGCTCGTTCGTGGGCTTAACTTGAAGTGTACGCTCCTCTGCGCTCTAAGATGAGAGTATACCCTATCCCGAGGGCCCAGGCAAGAGTGTACACCCCCAGAATGCTCGGTTCGTTGCTGGTCGAGAGGCTGTTTGCCAGGACGCTGCTGGAGAGGGTCGTCATCTACTCTTATCCTGCTTCGGGACACCTTGGGGCACATTGCATCTTCGTACGCTGCAAAAGATGATTCACCTAGGTCGTCTGTTGCGCAAGGGCGTTCGTTAATTTTATGACGTATTAAGACAAGTGTTGTTTACCATACAAGATGGGAAAACTTGGATGGTAAGTTTCTCCATATATGATAGAAGTGTAGTGGACTCCGGGAGCAAAATTTGAGTCGAGATATGTCAAATCTGTAGACAATCTTGGTGAAAACATCCTTGGTTCAATTATCTATCCAAAAATATGAAGTCGAGAAAATTGATTGGTTTTGGATCAGTCTGGATCACTAGGTGGACCGCGAGAACGAGTTGGGCCGCGAAAGTGGGCCGAGCTATGTGCGGGGTGCGTGGGCGCGGTGCAGTCTGGCCTGTTTGGCCTTGGGCCACAGGTGCATTGGGCTCACACTGAGCTCTCCTAGCCTTGGGTACGTACGTGTTGGGTTGCTTCATTTGCTGCAGCTGCTTAGGCCGTGCTTTGGGCCTTAGCTGCTATGGTAGCGTAGTGGGCTTGCTAGATCTAAGCTGCCTCGCAGGTTGGCTGCTTTGTGGGATGGGCCTGGGCTCGTTGCTACAAAGTGGCAGTTGTTGTTGCTTCATGGCCTTGCTGCCATAGAGCTGTCCCACTCTTCACTGCCAAGGCTATTATGGTAATGGTACTCTGTGGTGGCAAAGTTACTTCTTTTGCTGCCGCTTGAGCCTCATGGATCGTCGTGGCAGGGCTATATCACTATCTCCATCATTTGATTTGGATCTTTGAACATAGGAAGTTTAGTATGTCGTGATTTCCGAATTTCTCGCAATTGTGTTTTTCTCCAACATCTATTCAAAGAATTAAAAAATTCTAGGAATAAGAACGTATGAAAAATTTACGAATGAACGAGAAATGAGAAACTTTGAATGTGGGAGTCTTCTTTTAGGTGAATCAAACTCTCAATGAAAGTACCAATTTGTGGATGCAAATTTCTGTCATCTCTTGCCTTGACGAAAATGCACCTGCAAAATAAAACACTTTTGATAAAGGCCAAAAGCCTCACGCACCCATGATGAGTTGGAGGGGGCCTTTGGCTGAAGAGTCTCCGATGCCAAAGTTAGAATTCTGAAAAGAATGTATTTAGGAGTTTGTGGGTAGCAAATGGCCTAGCATTTTGGTGGGATAAGAGGGGTATTTATAGGAGAGTGGTTGACCCTTTGGGTGGAAAGTGGTCGGTCATATTTGGTGAAAATAGGTGAATAATTGTAAGATATTTTGTGAAATAATGTTTTGCAATTAACATGGTAATTATTCCTAATTTAAATAGGAAGTTTTGGGAGTTACCTTTTGAATAAAATCAATAAGGGATTGATGAGGAGTGATGAGAGGAATATGAAATAAATTTCTTATTGATCACCTTTGACTCTTCCTTGATTGAGCCATTATTGTTTGTTGCATGCACGTAGGAATTTCGGTGTGCCTCAAGAGTAATCTAGTCCTTCTTGTCCAAAAAATCCACGTGTCATCTCCACAATTTTTGGCTCCACACAAAGTAAATCTAAAAGTTATTTTGACTAATTGCCAACAAGCCAAATTATATAAATAAAAAGAAAAATAAAATCCAACATCATTCCTTCAATTGAACCATCTTAAGACCATCTCCAACCCTAGCCTAAAACATAAAAATATTTAGCTCAGAAAATTTAGGTTTTATCCCAGAAATAGCTTTTCTGCTCCAACCCTTCTGGCCTAAAATTTTAGCCGGGATATTAAAGAATGAACTTAGGCTAATTTTTTTCTTCAATTAACTTTAAAAAAAAATAAAAAATTATGTAGACTATCGTAATTTAATTTTATGAACATTTTAATCTAAAAATATTTAAGTTCCGATAAATATTGAAAAATCACTAAATCGACAGATGAAACTCAGTAACTTTCAACTTTCACCAATCGTTCAACTTTCACCAACCGTTTAAGTTTCACCAAACTTTTAACTTTCACCAACTGTTCAACTTTCATCCTCTATATAAACACATGTCCAATATTAGTTGATCACACAATCTTTCAACCTTCAATCATCCTCTATATTCACCAATCTTTCAACTTTCAAAGTGTTTTTGTTTCCTAAAAATCCTCAATATCTCATCAATAGGTGATAGAAGAAGGCGTAGCAGGGCAATGTAAATGGCACAATACCAAGCAAGGCTTGACATTGAGGATGCTGAAATGATCAACGCCAAAGCTGAACTTGTAAACTCGCTTATGCAATATGAGCACCATGCCGAATCTAGCCATCGTGGTTCTGTCACGAGACGTTCATTTGTGTAGCGTGATAGAGAAGAGTGTCATGACCTAATGATGAAAGATTATTTCATCGAGCTTCCGAGATTTCCTGCTCATGATTTTCAGAGGAGGTTTCGGATGAGGAAAAAGCTTTTTCAAAGCATATTGAATGCAGTTGTCAATGATGACCACTACTTTACAAAGAAGATAGATGTCGTCGGCCGACAAAGTCTATCACCTCATCAGAAGCTCACTTCTGCATTTTCAGATGCTATCTAATGATTACTCTGCAGACTTAGTTGACAAGTATTGCCGACTTGCTGAAAGTACTGCTATTGAGAACCTGAAGCGTTTTTGTCAGGCAATTCAAGCCGTATATGGAGCCACATACCTTCGCAAGCCAAATCGTGAAGACTTGAAGAGGCTTCTACATAAGGCAGACAAAAGAGGCTTTCCTAGTACGATAGGAAGTCTCGATTGTATGCATTGGGAGTGGAAGAATTGTCCTACTGCTTGGGTTGGCCAATTCAAGGGCCGTCATAACCAAGGTATAAATATCGATGATATCGGAAATATCGGTAGTCCAAAAAGACAGAAATATCGATGGAAATATCGGGATATTATCGATATCGATAAAAATTGAATAAAACCCACAGAAATTGTAAGAAAAACTTGGAAATTTTTATTGAAACTTTGCAGGATGTTTATTTAGTCAATTATCTATTAGTTTATCACAAAAAATTGAAAGGAAATGCATTGCATGATGGATTTAACTGGTTTAAGTTGATTATATAGCGAGCTAACAAATATTGTGAGTGTAGAAAATATGTAGTAATTAATGAAAAAAGTTTAAACACACCATACTCATTTATATATAATGAATTATTACAATATAAGAAAGACATGAAAAATATGTTATTTTTTTTACAAAAAAAGTAGTATATGTGACGTTAGAGTTTCAAGTATATAGCATGATCTGATCTTCAAAGAGACTTTCAAGGTCTCAAAGATGGATTTCCCAAATAAAACAATTTAATTTAAAAAAATAAAATAATAAATATAAGATATTTTGAATGAAATTAGTGTTTAACATTTTCTTTAAACCACATGGTGACCCCACCACCTCACCTCCCTTACATAACCCAAGGTCCCAAATTGAGACTCCCAATCCTATATCTGACATTTTCTTTTTCGTATCCCATAAGTCTCTCTCTCTCTTATTTCCTATCAACCCATTAAAAATCTTGCCTTGAGAGAAGTTCCTTGAAATACAAAATCCCAGAAATCTTTCTCCCTCTCTCTCTCTCTCTCTCTCTCTCTTTCTTTTCTAGAAACCTCTAGCAAAGCAATCTCCTCACTCCTTAGCGAAATTTCCTAAACACACTCTCTCTCTAGGGTTTTAGGCATTTTTTTTGCCCCTCTCTCTCTTCTTCTTTGAAATCTTAGGTAAGAAATCGAACATTTTATCTTCTGGGTTTCATTTATTATATGGTGTTCTTTGCTTTTCCTCTTCAATTCAACTAACTATCTCTCTGCAACTCTCCTTCCCGGAGCACAAACACACCACACCAACACCCCACCGTGACCTCCACCACAATGGCACACACTCCGGCGAGCACCATCACCACCTGTGGACCGTTCATCCTCCCTTTCTCACCTCCTGGCGAGCATCATCAGGCAATGGGAGGCATTGTTTAGGTCGTACGAAGCGGAGGATCCATCGAACCCGAGCGGGTTTTGGGATCCGGAGAAAATAGATTTTTCATTTCCGACGACGGATGCGCAGATCTTAGGTCTGAGCCTGGATTGCAGAGGGAGATCTGGGCAACTGCGACGACGCAGCCTCGGCTGCCTTTCCGACGACGGAGCCACAACGATTGTTTCGATAATATCAAATATATCATGATATTATCGATATTAGCGATAATATCGCGATATTTAAACGATAATTAGGGGGATACGTGGGAAAATATCGGTCTCTCCGAAAAACGATAATATCGGTGATATTTTGCCGATATTATTGATATTTTAGTCATTGGTCATAACAAGCCAAACATCATGTTTGAGGCTGTGACGTCTTACGACACATGGGCATTCTTCAGATCTCCTGGATCAAACAACGATATCAACGTTCTTTGGTGTTCACCTCTATTCGATGATGTTATCAATGGATGGGCACTAGAATTTCGGTACAAGGTAAATGGTAATAGGTATGAGCTATGTTACTACCTAACTGATGGTATTTATCCTAGTTGGTATACCTTTGTCAAAAGTTTTTCTCATCCTGATAATGCAAAGAAGAAATTATTTTCTCAGAGGCAAGAGTCTTACAGGAAGAATGTGGAAAGAGCGTTCGGGATCCTACAAGCTTGATGGGCCATTGTTAGAGGGTCTGCACGATTTTGGCATACTGATGACCTCCATTAAACCCTTTTATTGATAATTGTAGTAAAGATGTAAGTAGGGATCGTTCTAGGCCGGGGATTATGAGGGATGCTAATCTACTCAAATTTAACTCAAAAACACTTAACTAGGCTTGAAAACACTAACCTAGACTCTTATGAACTCAAAACAAACTAAAAAGACTCAAAACAGCATAAAACAATCAAATAGACTCAAACTAGACACTAGAGGGTGAATTGGACGAAAATTGATTTTAACTTGACTCAAAACACTTAAAAACACAAATTGGACAGATTCTAACTAACTTGACATAGCAAAGTAAAGGGGATTGGGTTTTTGATGAATTTAAAGTAAAACTAAACAGATTTAAGACTCTAAATAACTTTAGACGAAATTGGTGATTTAATGGGTGAATGGCTAGCTAGAAGGTTCTTCATGTTTGCAAATAAACAAAGACAATTGAATTTAAACATTAAAGCAACGGATAGAATACACCTAGAAACGCTCCAATAATCCAACGTCTTGAATGGCAAGCACGGCTCCAGGGGCTCCTTCTTCTTTCTCCTTGCAAAGTTGCCGCACCAGAGGGATGAATGTGTATGATTGATGAAGGGGATGAATTTGTGATGGAAGGTGGGTGGTGTTCTTAATTGTGCCGTAACACTTGTATTTATAGGGAGAGGGAAGGCACGGCAAAGGTGTGAAAGAAGAGGATTAGGACTCCAAATTAGCAAGGAAAGAGGACACTTCTCATCATATTCCAGCGAGGAAAAGAATTAATGTGTTTAGATGGATTAGGACTCCTAAATTCAAATGGGAAGGATATAGAATAAGATAAGGACTCATTTTGCAGCTGGAGATAAGGTAGGATAAGATTAAGATAGGATAAGATAAGATAAGGTCAGTTTGGATAAAATAAGGTTGGATAAGGTTTTGGATAAGATAAGGCAATTTGGATAATGTCTCCTTCTTTTGAGCTGATTCCTTATCTTCTTTGTCTTGGATTTATTTTCTTCATCTCCTTAGCATATTCCTAGCCTTTTGAACTTCAAAAACGTCCATCCAAATTGCTCCACTCATAAGCTATCCATTTGATGCCAAAAACTACTTCAAAATGCTCCAAATTGCACTTTCTTGCCAACTTTGTCATTTGGACCTACGAACACACGAAAATAGCTTAAATCACTATAATAAACAGAAACTAACTATGAAAATGCAAGAAAACAAGCTAACTCAGTTGCATAAATATGCTCCTATCCAATTCCCCCACACTTAGCTTTTGCTAGTCCTCGAGCAAAACAAAACCAACAAAACAAAACAAAACAAAACATAACCTAGACCTTCCAACATTTGCCTCTGGGATTTCCAATGGAACATGACATGTTAAAAATCACTACTTACACATATTTTAGCTATCCTTACCCTTGAGCACATACTTAATCATAGTCGCCACTCATTAGCTCGTATTTAATCAATTTAAAACAATGTTTTGAATGTAGTAACATGCCTTAGAGAATTCCCTCAATTCCTCACCGAATATACTCTCTATTTTCACACAAATTTTCTGACTACACTCCCTATACTAGGTATATGTAAGAAGATTGATGTAAACATGTAGACTAGCACTCACATATGTTATAATCAAAGAAGGCATTTTCTGGAATTATTAATTCATGTATAGATATGATCTCATGAACGGAATGCCACTACTTAGACACGAGAACCAGGGATACCATATGCTCATACCAATCCCAAACTCCACAGATTGAAATACATAACAACCAAGATAGAAGTCTAAGGGTTGTAACGGGGCTAAGGGTATTGGCTAACAAAGAAAGGTTAAGGATAGACAAAGGTTCTTAAAGCAATAGTAAGCAAAGCAATAAAATCAACACTTAGAATTCACTTTTGAATGCAGCAACTAACTTTAAACACAAAGGGGGAGATTCACAAAACACTTACGGCCGAATTCAAACTTTTGGATCCTTTCTTCAATAACCAATACTTGTGAGTTCATTCTCACTTATTTTGAATTCTTTTCCTTTCTTTTTTTTTTTTTCTCTTTTTCACATTTTTTCTTTTTGTTTTTTTCTTTTTCTTTCTTTCTGTCTTTTGTTGGAAATAACCTTCCCCCACACTTGTTTTCTACATAAAATGAATTCCCTCTAAGTCATGCTCCACTATACTTTAAGAACAAGGGTATCGATAGTCCTATTCTAGGCTAGGTAAGGATAATGTGGCTAACAAAGAAAATAGGCTAAATACGGCTCAAAGGGGTTAAACCTACAAAACATATGCATGGGATTAAGGCTTTTTGGCTATAGTGGTAACTACTAAACAACTTCATCTTGTTATATGTTATGCACTCAATTTTAAGCTTTGAATGAAACCAGCATGAGTTCTAGTATTTGGAACTAAAATGATAAAACACATTCTAAGTAGCAACCAAGCAAATAATAATGAGATCATGTAACGACTTTAGAAAACAAGAAATCACAGATTAATAACTCTCCAAAACAAAGTTTAGGCTCAAGTCTCTCAGGGTTGTAGCGTTAATTTGAGTTCCTTCCTTCAAACATGTTACAAAAACTGATTTTTTTTCTTTGTGATTACATGTGAATTCGTAAATGTCAACTACAACCAAGCATAAACCAAAGAGCATATCAAACTTCCACCCATGTTTGTAATTTTCTTTAACAGTCATGCACTTAAAAACCAAATCCTCATCATTGTGTTGGAAGGTACCCTAATTCTACACACAAAAACGACTCTAAAACGACTCTTTTTGGGGTTTTCAAAACGTTGTCTATTTGTTTTTCAAAATTTCATATTTTTCTTTCAAGACACACTAAAATAGTTCAAAACACACTAAAAACACTTAAAAACAGTGAAAAACAACTCTAGAAATGCTAGGTGGTAAAATACAGGATGTATGTACTTAATGATATGGAATTAAAGAAAGTAAATTTTGGACGAAGCATACTGTTCAGCTTATGCAATGCATCCTAGAGGTACTAAAATGTATCATACCATTCGACCATTTTTTTTATTGGCCAGATATGAAAAGGGAAATTGTTGAATTTGTGAATAGGTGTATTAGTCGTCAGCAAGTCAAAGCAGAAAGAAAGAAGCCTTTTTGGATTGATGCAGCCATTTTCCGTTCCACAATGGAAATGGGAAAATATCACTATGGATTTTGTGTACAAGTTTCCTTGTACATGGAACGGGTGTGACGGCGTTTGGGTAATTGTTGATCGGCTTACTAAGTCAGCACAGCTTATCATCCTCAAACAGATGGTCAGTTAGAGAGAACCATTCAGACTTTAGAGGACATGCTGAGAGCTTCGGTACGTCAGTTTGGTGATGATTGACAAGCTAAGTTGGATTTGATGGAGTTTGCCTATATTAACAGCTATCATTCTAGCACCAGGATGGCACCATTTGAGACACTTTAAGGGAAAGCTTATCGTATACCTTTGTGTTGGTCTAAAGTTGGTGAAAGACATTAGTGGGCCCTGAGATAGTAGAGGAGACTACTCCAAATGTTTAAGTGATTAAAGCTATTATGAAAGTGGCCCAGGATTGATAGAAGAGCCTTGCCGATATACATACCACTGATCGGGTGTATAATGTAGGTGATTGAGTATTTTTGAAGCTTTAACCTTGGAAATATGGGGTTCGGTTCGGGAAGAAAGGTAAGTTAAGTCCTAGGTACATCGGACCTTATGTGATCACCGAGAGAGTCGGTGAAGTTGCTTACAGACTTAAGTTGCCTTCAGAGTTGTCGAAAGTGCATAATGTGTTCCATGTTTCCATGCTTCGACATTATGTTTCATATCCTTCACATATGATTCCTCCTTAATCTTTGGAAGTTAATCCGGATTTGATTTATGATGAGGAACCAGTGACTATCTTGGATTGGAAGGATAAGGTTCTGAGGATTAAGATCGTGCGTTTAGTGAAAGTTTTATGGAGGAATCATTCAGCAGAAGAAGCTACTTGGGAGACAAAAGATAGAATAAGAGAGATGTGTTTCAGGTTGTTTTATTGATATTGATGGATTGTAAAGATTGTGTAAATTTCGAGGATGAAATTTTTTTTAAGGTGGGTAGATTGTGACAGCCTGTCCCTGATTTTAAGAGTTTTTAAAGTTTTAATAAAGGATTTTACAAAAATGCCCTTTGAGGCACGCGCATTATTTGAGGTTAATCATTGTGTCGTGCCATCTAAGATTTTTTTTCTTGACATATCCTTGTAGTACTCGTCGCTACGGAAGCGTGGGCGCAGACGGTTCGTGATTTGGAGTTATAACGAAAAAGATTTTAAAGTTTGAAGTTTGAGCATTTTATAAATTTTATTATAAAAATTTGGTGTGCCATTTGGATGGCCTAGATTAAAGAAAATTTGAAATGGATGGCTCGGATGTAAGGGAAAGAAAATAAAAATAAAAAGATGAAGGAAGGTTTTTGTGTGTGTGTGTGCGTGACTGGTGGAGAAAAGAGGAAAGAGGATTGGGCAAAACTGCCCAACCAGAAGGAAGAAGAAGATAGCTCTAGGAGAGTTTCGGGAGAGAAGCTGGGCGAATGGGGAGAAGAGAGAGAAGTTTCTGGCCAATCAGAGAAGGGGAAAGGAGGAAAGGAGAGAGGACGAGAAACGGAGGAAGAAGAACAGAAATGGGTTTTCAACCCACGACCCGCGCGACCCGGTGGGTTTTCCACCCGTTTCCGTCTAAATTCCTTCATTTTTCCGGTGAGTTACTTCAAACCATCACTTGGAAAACCCTCTATGATCTTCCCTCTTCTTATTACACCCAAAAAATCAAAGAATTTGGCTTTGAAATTGGATAAAACCGTACGGTGTGTGCGGTTAGTGTACAGATTCTTCAAATCTTGAAACGTTTTCTTTCAATTACTAACACTATTAGCATTCCCTTAGGACCTGGAACAAAGCTCAAGCAGTTGGAGCATCAG